CAAATGGTATACGTGTAAACTGATTGCTTCATTACTCAAAGCATGTTTGCGTAAAAGTTCCCAGAATGAAGTATTTTGAACAATTCTTTACATCAGCAACAGGTACTTCCTCATTATACAGAGCAGCGGGTCTTCCTCAACGAAATTCACCCATTTATCTTTAAGTTATGCATTTTTCCTCTTCCAAATCAAATTGTCTGCAGCATAACTGACAGGTGCGTTTTACTACCACACACCGGGTCTCCACCAAATTCCGCGCAAAGTAGACATTTGAAGGTGGTATTTAACAAACAGAAAACAATAGTCTGCGTATTTTGCTTGTCTCTACGGGTTTAAATGATTCTTTATACCAAGGCTAATAACAAACCGTTTCGAAATGTTCTAGTTGCCGAGTTGATTACATCACTTTTGCAATTCCATTTTACTTTCGTGGAACTATGTTAAAATTAATAGATCTCTCTTTTAGCATTTTCATGGCAATTTTGAGTTGTTTTGTAAGGGCTAATGGGTACTTGTAAGGTAGATTTACCCTTGGATTCTCCTTCCTTTTCATTTGTACTACTATACCCACAAAAGTTACCAAACCCTCTTACTGCATTATAAATCTCAGTAACACAAACTCTGACTTATTTTCAAAGCGTTTAATGCGGGGAATTGAGTTATCCACCCCTTATGCAAGTAGATGTTTTGAGATCGAAACATTTCCACGAAAAGAATGCATCTTCATAACCGTATTTAACTCTGAAACTGGTAAATACTCGAGCCAAAAGGGATGTAACACCTATTTAATTGAAGGAACGTTAAAATGGAGCTTAAATTGTGGAGTATTTTAGTCCTCTCTTTTATCCTCATCTATTAAAATAAAGCGAGATTAGCTTATCAGTAGAGCTCTGAATCACTCCTGACTGGAAAATATATTGGCGACGTCCAGAAGGGCTGAGGAGCCACTGTCATGGCCCGTAAACCATACTGCCCAGCGGAAGTGGAATGGTGGAGCCTTCAGTGGCCACGTAACTAAAACAAAGAACAAAGCTAACAATCGAAGTTTCACATATCTTTTTCAATTACCTAAACACCCTCATTTACAACTTACATCTGATTAGCGATTGGACAATCAAACTAAGATGTAAGTTTGATTTCTCTCATTCATAACGAATAAAAAATCCACGGTTTTTAAATAAACAATAATCGTTCAAACTGAAGAAGAGATGACATCGTCAGTAAATTGAGAAAAGTACAAAAAGCGAGTGGAAATGACACCTATTGGTAGGGGAACAAAATTGTTTAGTGATCTAATAAAAGCTACTTTATAGGAGCACTCATTTTGGCTGCCGACTTTCGCAGACACCTTGTTGGGGTCCTGGGCAGAAGACCCGAGAAGGCCAAGATTTTGGATCAGAGGTCTTTACTGTTGTCGGTCTTGAGCCCACCGTGTATTCCTAGCGTATCTGGAGTGTCTCAACTCTCGTGCATGCAAATGTTCTTAGGGACTATGGAAGCATTTGGTCATTTAAAGGCCGCCTAAACAAATGATTGGCGGATCAGAAGCAAAAAAACAGGAACATTAAATGCAAATTTTCCAAGAATGTTGGTCAAGAGGCGTAACCAGGTAGAATTCAAAGCCTGAAAAGTCCTAAAAGTGGAAACAAAAATGTCTCCTGAGGGTTGTTAATATTACCATTTGAAAGCTGCTACACTGCGTTTTTGTGGATTTTTCATCTGCAAAAAGCAGCTTGGATTGTTTTCACCACTGCAGAGGTGTAAGAATGCCATTCGTAATGTAGAAAGACCGAGTGGCCAAAGTGGGTATAGATTACATGAAATTCCCTTCGTAGATTACTTTGATAGTACAAATTAGTCGGATAGAGGAGGTAGAAGTATAGAATCCCACATAGTGAAATGATCCTGATGAAATAAGCGATGTGGTTTGAATCTCCAACGCCGTTACACATCTCACGTTGGTGACCTACTCATTTCCTTTAACTGGGTACCACGACTGTTAGTGCTTGATTTGTATTTAAAACTGAAAGGGCATTTGTGAATATTTTACTCATTGAACGCTTTTTCTTTATTGCCCCTTTTTGTAGATTTATTGTTTGATCATTAAATAAGTGCTTCAGGAACAATAATATCTCATCATATTATTTATTTTAAATCCACTTATTCCAGTCACTTTTCTAGGCTTAAATGACCCCTAAAGGCTGTTTTGTTAAGCAAAATAATTTAAGTGAACAAATGCCAAACATTTGTTCTGAAGAGTTGAAATAAGTACCTTTGTTTCGTACAACCGGACACATCACTTTTGTCAATTGATAATCGCCATCGGGCACAAATTACAATCTCTAGTGCTTTTTTAACGGGACAAAAGCCTACCATTTCCACTTTTGTGCTGAGTTTTCTTTCTAGAAAGCAAGGGAAAACACTTTTAGCGGATTCGCTTCTGCTTTTACTTTTGCTTTCCAGTTGCCCACTCCAAATGACATGTGATTATGTGGATGCCTTGTACCAAGGAACCGTGATAGCCACTTAGAAATTGGAGCCAGAAGAACAAGGGAGATGAGATGAGATGAGGAAGCGTCTCTCCCCGATCCATCCTAAAGTGCACCATAGGACGTCGTATGCTGCTTCGCAAGACAACGGAAAGAGCTTTCTCCCGACTCATTGTTTGGTCATGACCGTTCCTCGAGAAGTTTTTCTTGAAAATCTTTGAATCGAATAGAGTTGTATAAAATAGTTACCCGATCATCTTATGTGCCCTTGGCCATACAACCTCAAGCCACGGCTTAATGATCTGACGGTTCAAGCGTGCAATGGAGGATTGCACATTAGAAGGCACCAGAGTGATAGACTGGCGCAACCTCCATGTTTCGTGGAACATTCATATAAAAAATCCCAAGAAATTTTGAAAATATCTGTAAACCATAACCACTTAATAAACAGGGCTATGCCAAAACTCGAAAGCACGTATCTGATCGGCGGATATGCTCGACATAAAGTTGGTTTGTCAAATTGAGTCATTACAAAGTCGCCTACTTCCAATGTAATTGCGGTTGGGCCTAAATTCAAACAACACCTCCACAAATCACTTAGTAATTGTAACAACTAATTGGCAATAAAATATGAAGTCTTTAATGATTATTAAATTAATTTATTAACTTTTTACTTGGCACAAACATTGTTCATAATTCCATTGCCAGTTCACGGATAATGTAGTTTAGATGCTGTCTAAAATAAAACGTGTTCCTACAAGTCCTTTTCTGCAATTCACCATTTCCTAATACAACTTACTTCACAACTATCAAAATAACACTCGGCACTCAATAACATTAGTATATCTTCCAAACTGACTTGTCTTAACGTTCATGATCGCCATGTTTCATTAATTTATCGGTACTTGTTTTACTATAACCATTTTCTTAAAATAGCGTCCCCTGTGAGTACTGAAATCTGTAACAATATCATAAGGTTGCCTTTTGAAGAGAAAAATAAAAGTTGGCACATTACCCTGCGGGAAATTCGATTTTCCTTAAAATGGTGTTAGAAAACGGTAAATGCTGATAATATCGCCTCGGTTGAGACTAATTGCTATAGGAATCATCCGGCATTAAGATAAAAATTATTACATTTTTGTACTTTTTAAGGTTCTACCTGTGGCTAGTGTTCCCTGTCAGGGAATCAAATGCTGATTACGTGATACATGTTTGCCCGAGTGGTTGGATGAATCTGGTTAATGCGAAGACGCCATCGATCTCCGAGGAGGTGAATAAGGACCCAAACCCCGGTTTTTTTAATAAAACTTTCAGTACTTGCGAAATCTTACGCCACTGCTACGCAAGCTGCGTTCGTCTAACCAGTTTTCTCGATATAGACCCATGAAGTAAGGGAGAGAAGGGAAAATCAAAGAAGATGTTACATTTTAACCGAGTTAACTTTAAGCAATCCGTAGGAATAAAGCGGTAAGACTTGTGCTGGATCTTAATAGTCTGAAGATAAAAGCTCGGTTTTTTGTCTTTAAATTAACAAAATTTTAAGTAAAGTAGGTCATTTGTAGCCGCCTATCCCCTTAAACTCATTAATTAGAGGGAGAATAAAACCGTTATCTTGACTTACAAGTTAATTTTTACACAAAACATACTCATAAACTTTGATATTTATTAATATGCAGAGCGCTGTAAAATGGGGATGGTCTGAAAATTTACAAAACTGATGTAATGGGCTTGGTGTCTCTCTCTCTTCGCCTTCAAGCCCTTCAAAAGAACGGATGAGATGGACGAGGACATGCTTTACTGAACAACGATAAATAAAGGGTGAAGATTTCACAGTTAAGAATCTTAAGGGTACGTTTCCTCCTTGGCAGTTAATGTCTTCCGATTCGACAAGAGGTTCTTATTTACTGACCGCTTCTCGCTCAAGAGGCGCATTTAAACAAGCGTGTATTATAATGGGTACCTTTGTCAACAATAAATGCAATTTTAGGAATCCACAGGTAAATCACTAGTATAAATGATTCTCAAATGTGGAAGGTGCTGTCTCTACGATCTAATTCTCAGTTAAGCTCTTAAATACATGCTTGTTCGAATGCACCTTTTGGACGAAAAGCGGTCAAAGTATGCGAATTTCTTGACAAGGCAGGCACCATTAGTCCCTCTGGAGAAAGCGAGATCCAAATCCGCTATGACCGCAATCCCCTGTACCCATTAAATCACACTATCGAGTAAAAGTTAATTTCATCAATCCAGTCCGCTCGTTTAGAGGGTGTGGAGGTAGGGGCGGAAGTGTGGAACACCTAACCTATTAAGGAGCTCTTAATTAATAAAAAGAACAGGTTTTAACCAACCAATAGGTTTATGAAATGAAGTAAAATTATATCTGAGTAAAAGTAAAACAAGTAATCATTTTAAGGGCAAATCTTACCAAAACTAGTTCGTCAAACCGGATTGGCTACTTTTGAATCTGATGTGCAGTGTCATTGCCTGATACGATTGCTTTTAGGAGTGAATTAAAGATCATAATGAGTGAATTAACTAATTACTTCCTAGACATTAATCATGGGAACTTTAATTATGAATTACCTACTTCGCCTACGTGCAACATTTGAGCTCTTTACTTTCCACAAAACTTGTTCATGATTTCACTATCAGTAAAAAGGTGTCCAAAAATGAAAGGCAACCGCTTCCAATTTGAGTTCTTCTTAATCCCTTCTGAACCAGGATGAGACATACGTAACTTTTCACTTTCACCAAATACGGCACATCTTTAGGGGAAGGTAAATCGCGCCTTTTTTTTGCATGGACACTTAACTCATGCAAATTAATTTCTTCACGAGGTCTGCAAAAATTCATGAAAATATTCGTTTACTCGAGGGGACATTTGTCTGCATCCACAAGTAAAATCGGGTTTTGTGTGTGGGGATCCAGCAACAGAGCTAACATCTGTCCAAATCACTCATTTATCTAAGGGGACGCTTCAATCCCGCAGGACCTTAACAAAGTGGATAATAAACATTGGTTCGGAGAGGTATACATTGTTATGTCCTTGGGGATGACTCGACAACTACTATAAAAGTATATGGCAAGTATATTGTAATTTTAAATAGCTATTAAAAAGGAAAAATGATTTGCCAGCTTTTAGTTTGCGCTAAAGACAATCGTTTTCAGACCTTAATTCTATTAAGTAAGGAAGCGAAGATGTGAATCAGTCTTAACCATCTGGAAATTACCGAATTCGGAGCCTAACCATATTCCACTGAAATTGCTATCCGTCCATTCCATCTCGATATTTCATACCGGGATTCTTATCGGCGTTACTTGGTTCATAGATTTGAGACGGTAACTAGATGCGATTGCACGATGTTTAGTGCACGGAAACACCGAAAATTATAAGCAGTCTCTTAGCTAACCCATTGGATGATCATAAAATTCCAATTTAAAGTAAATTGCCCGAATTTTTTAGCAAACAGCCTTACCCACTTACCCTTCATCATCCAGGATTCGTGAAGCATTTGAACAGCCAACTCAATTTTAGGGTAGTTGTCTGGCAGGAGTTATTGCATCCGAGCTCTGTAGGGTAGAAACGGATTGAAAGTCGGTAATAAACTTGAAGACTGGACACGGCTATGTACAGGGTAGGTTGCTCTTCTCACATCTTCTTTCCGTACAAACTGGCTAGTGATTCCAATTGGAACCTAGTCAGTCTTCTTGTCACGGCAAATCCGGTGTGACAAACAGTCTTGAAAGGCGTCAAAGAGCACAAGACCGCAAGCCACTCACTATACACATAGTCGTGACAGGTAGCTGTGATCAGAAGGTCTCCCTGTTAAGTGCATGTAGTAATTAAAGTAGGTGCATTTTATTCTATTTCCTCAGATGAAATGTCTGTGGAACACCTGGGCTTGGTAGTCCGAACAGAAAGCAGCCATTGTCTTGTCTTAAATACATTTACGATTCACAGTGATTCACATAACATTCGTGCTAAGATGATGCAATGAACTTATGTCGAATTACGCTTTCACAGGTTCAGGTCTTTTTCAAAGTATACAATTATGAACGAATCGTCCGTCTATGAAATCATTTTCCAGGATAATTCAAAATAAGGAAGGTAGTAGCATGGAATATCAATGAAGATTGAAGGATAACCTACAGTGAATAAAAAAAGCACATGATGAGAAATTTGATGGCAAAGGAGGAGCATAAATTCCTCTTCATTTCATGTAATGAATAGTAGCTAGTGAAGCAGTCGCAGGCTTATTAAATCTGAAAACTAGTCACAGCTTTTTTCACAAGGACGAAAATATGCAGACGCTATCCAGAGAAGGGCAAATTCAACAATGCAAATGTCAATAATTTCAATAATACCACTGTCAATGCCACCTCACATACAAACTCAAGACATCTATTCATCCATATATCCAACAGTTTGCATGACTGATTGTCTGCCAGCATGTCTTCATATCTGAAACCAAATGGTTGCATCGAACTG